ACTCATGGCCGGGTATTTTGCTCCTCCAGCACACTTCGACCCAAACGTGCTCCTTTCGACCTGAAACTCGTTTCTTCGCCTTGATGCCAACGCTACGCCCTGAAATATGACATAAACGCACAACCTAGCGTGGAATCGGCTTAAAACACGAGAATCAACATCTCAAACGGCTCAAGAATAGGGGTAAAAACATGTGCAATCAATGGTCTATTAAGCTTTCAACAATCTTCTTTAACATGGTTATCTTTCCTACAATATCTGCAGAAAAGTCCACCTTGAGATGGTGTTGTACCCTTCCTTTGATTTCTTCCCCTGCTTCCATCAATTGCTAGGGTTATTCCTTCATCTCCTTTGGTCCCAGTACCATGTGGATCTAGCTGTCTTTCATGTTGCAGGACATAACTGAATGTAGACCCTATGCTAGGCATAGGCTTCATCATCAACATGTTGGTACGCACCCCCTCATAGTTGTCATTCAAACCAGTAATAAACCTCATAACATAATAATCATGTATGAACCCTTTAAGGGTATTAAGAGCCACAGTTGCTGGACAATCTGCTTGAGGACAAGCACTACACACAACTGTCCTATACTGAACATATTCTTCCCAATATGTCTTAAGTCTAGTAAAATATTCATTAATATTAGAGCTGCCTTGCTTGCAAGTAAAGATCTGAGTCTGGAGATCTACCAACCTAACTGCATCTGCCTGACCATATCTCATTTTCAGATCTTCCTAGATCTGATATGCATTCTCAGTACTAGGCACACTCTCAGCAGTAGTTTCATCAAGAGAGTTAAGAAGCCATCCTAATACCTGAGTGTTGTTAGCATCCCATTCTTCAAAGCTTGCATCAGTAGCATTAGGTTGTGGTTTTGAACCATCGATGTATCCAAGGTGCTTCCTTGTCTTGAGAGCTATTCTCAAAGATCTGCTCCATAAGTTGTAGTTCCTTCCGTTGAACTTGATTGAGACAATAGACTGTGGCACCAACTGATCTATCGAGCTAGAAGAGTTGGTTGAAGTAGCCACTGTAGAGGACTATGCAGGTTCAGTGCTCATGATGTAGAAACCCTAGCAGAGTACTAATGGTGCTCTGATACCATAAGAATAGGGTTGTGTGAAACCTTTTGTTTCATTGAATTGAAGAGAAGCTTTACAAGCAGTATATATAGGCTACACTAGGAACCCTACCATTTACAACGGTCACTAATTAAACAGTGATTAACTAACTAATATTAACAAACAATTGAAAACAACCAATGGAAAGGACACATGTGGCTAAGCTCGATTTAGCTAATGTAAGCGAGAAGTGGAGCGACGTCATGCTGTGCAAACGACGTCGGAACGTGCTTCTTCAAGCAATAGAGACCCGGGCGATCTCTGAAGTGGGCTTCGCCCCTTTGTCTTCGTGTGGGCTTGTAACTCAGCAGCGAGGCCCACTATCCATCTTCTTCTTTCCTTCAGAGTTGTGTTGAATGAAACTTCTTATTTGATAATTTGGTGCTTAGAATGATTTATTTCTATGCGTTGTGATTGTTCATGAATATGTAATTTGCAAACCAAGTATTTGTGATTGGGATGAATTTTGTGTCTTGTGATTGTCAAGCAAGTACATGTTAAGTTTAAACTTTTGTTAAAATTTTAGTGGTTTAAACTTTGGGTATTTATGGGTAGTATGGGTACCCGTTATTCGTCCCGTACGGGTAATGGGTACCCGTTTCTCATATGGGTTTGGGATATGGGAAGGACTTTGGTCTCCAAACGGGACTGGGTACCAGTTTCAAACGGGACTGGTATCCCGTCCCATCCCGTTGTCCAACCCTAACAATGTGTAGTTAGCTGATGATAGAGATGGAATCAAAGGTTGCGAGTGGTGGATTTGATTTGGGAGAGATTCTAGGAAGATGGAAGAAGAGGGGCGGGTAAATGTGGTTAGGTTTGGTTATTGGTGACATGGCAAGTTTTATGACGTGGTGGTGACAGATTTTGTTTTTTTTTTAGAGTTAATTTTGGGTGAATCATCACTTCTGTTTGTCACATCAACAAAATATTAACGGTATTAACGGAGACTAACGAAGAGTGACCAAACATAACATGTTTTACCAAACTTAGTGACCATTACTGATTTTAATTTTTTTAGTGACTAAACATGACACCTTTTAGTAAATCTAGTGACCAAACGTGGCATTAACCCAAATACTAACCAACACATAATCCGGATAGAAACCTCAACAAATTATAACGAAATGGGTTATGCTGATCAAGAAAATCTAGTCATCCAAGGAAAATCAACTTCCTTTTTTGAAATTGAAAAATAATTGGTATTATATTAGACCATGTTTTCCGTTCATTTTTATGGGCGGAATGTGTAAATTGGTTAAATTTGAGGCAACCAAAAGAAGAAGAAGAAAAAAGAAGGAATAACGGGACAAATAAAAAACATCCTCTGTTGTCCTCTCCATCATTTAGTGACATGTGAATATCCAATGGATTTTCCCATATCTATGACTTCCAGTTACAAAATAGGGCTCAGTTTACCCTCCAATATCTGGACAAAAGTGGACCATTATATGGGGCCAAGATCAGGTGACTAAGGGGGTCCCCTTAGTCACATGGCTAAATGAATCTCAGCCACTCAACCTCATTAAAATCCAAGGGCTCCTATTAGTCCAATTTAATGAAGGGTAATGTAGTAATTTCATGTTTATTTTTAATTTTTAATTATAAAAGAAATAAATAAAAAATCTGCCGTCCCTTTGCGTCGCCTCCCCGCGCCGCCCCAGTGAATTTCCGTCCCATTCCCCCTGTCGCGCCGCCTCCGGTGAATTTCTGTCCCATTCCCCTGCCATTCCAGAGAGTTCCCCCTGCCGCCCATTATTCCATTCTCCCCTGCCGCCATTATTCCATTCCCCGGAGAGAGAGAGAGAGAGAGAGAGAGAGAGAGAGATTTGGTCGGAAAATTTTCTGATCGGAAAATTTTTCCGGCGAACAAAATTTTTCCGGCGAACATCGTCGCCGGAAAAAATTTCCCGGCGACAGTGCTACTTTTGTAATGTTTGTATGCTTTGTTATTTTGTAATGTTTGTCGGTTTTTTTTGTAATGTTTGTAAACTTTGTTATTTTTGTTAACCATGTTTGTAAACTTTGTCATTTTTGTGCACCATGTTCGTAATGTTTTTTATGTCTAAAAAACACCCGGGTTGACTTTGGGAAGGAGCCCCTCTATATAGGGATGGAGCCTCCAAAGTCAACCCGGGTGTTTTTTCCCGTTCGTATGGATTGTCGGTCTAGTTTGTCATTTTTGTCCACCATGTTCGTACTGTTTGTATGTCTAAAAAACACCCGGGTTGACTTTGAGAAGGAGCCCCTCTATATAGGGATGGATCCTCAAAAGTCAACCCGGTTGTTTTTTCTTTTTGTATGGTTTGTATTGTTTGTACAGTTCATACGTTTGTAATGTTTGTATGTTTTGTCGCTCTAGTTTGTACTGTTCGTATGTTTGTATGGTTTGTACTGATTGTAAATCCGGTTTGTATACTTCGTAATTTTCCATAATACCCAAACTACCCCTGTCATTAATTAAATAGCCCTTCCCACTTTTTAACCATTAGATTGAAGTGTCCAGATCTAAGGGCTGGGAGGGGCTTAGTCAAGTGACTAAGCACCCCCCTTAGTCACCAGATCCGCTCTCCCATTATAATTTATATGTTCTAGGCTCCTAATGGATTTGGAAGCAGTGTTTGTGAAATCTTACTACACAGATATTATATGGTTGATTTCTCCCTATCGAAGTCTAAACCACTTGGTGGATTTTAGTATATGAAACGGTTGAAACATGATTTCAATATTAAGTATCATATATTTGATTTTTTTTATACAACTTTCGATATAATTTTATAAACTTTATTTGAGAGTATAACTGTTATGACAAACTGATGTCATCAAATCGCATCGTTGTCATTCTAATAGTTGAATGTACATATAATAGGTTCGATTCTAGAGCCACAAACCCGAGTTGAATCAACCCCATACGAACGATTTCCCTCGACATATGAACCGGACTTGCTAGCAGCAAAGAAGCAAGAACCCTAAACTTGGATTATTTAGGTAAAATGAATCTTAAATTCTTGTTGATTGGATGAAACTAAATATCCAGGAACCTAAACAAACAATATTATAACTCGATGCTGAATGAATTTAAAACTAGAGAAAAGAGTTGGTCAGATTCAAGAGGGTGCAGAAGTGTTGATACAGATACTTGCCATTCCCTCCATACCCTTTTCCATTGGTGCTGCTGCCATTATTGCAGTGTGTCTATATTGGCACCCATTTGCCTGTTAGACGACCATTCTTTTGTTTGATTCTCCTCTCTTCTCCTCTCCCTGCTCCATGACCCATTCTCACCCCACAATTTCCAGTGACCCTCTTGTGAACTTACATGAATATGGTAAGATGTAAGCCACAGGCAGAAACAGAGCATCATTACACATCCAAATAACAAGAAAGTTTGAGAGAGAGAGAGAGAGAGAGAGAGTCAAAACTTTGGGCGGGTAGCCATTGGAAGGAGGGAGAGATAGTGGTGGTGGGGGCAGAGTGGCCTCAGTCATAAAATTGGGTGATCTGAAAGTGACATAATAGTGCAAAAGGGTTTGGTACTTTGGTAGGCCACCATTGCCCTAAACCCAACTCTGTCCTGTCCACACTCACTCTCTCTCTAACTCACTAATTTTTAGTCAAAATAAAACACTCCTTCCTTCCTTCCCTTCTTCTCTAGGCCACCACCCTGTCTCTCCTTCCTTCCCTTCACTCTCTGGTCTACTTGGACAATTAAATAAACCAAAGGGCAAAGCAAAGGTCTTTACTTGTTTGGTATTGATTGAACAGAAAGAGGGGGAGAGAGTAAAAAAGAAACAAAACAAAAACAGAAAAAGAAGGAAAACCCCAAACCCTTTCCTTTCTCTCTCTTTAATTCAAAAGCTTCAGGAGCAGATTCAATATTTTTCAATTCCTTTCTTTCTCTCGCTTTCGCTCTGAGCGTCTTTGTCTTTTCTTGCCCTCTCTTTCATCTCTCCCCTTTTACCACCAGCTTCCTCTTCTGTACCTCCCTCCCTGCATTTTCCCTTTTTTTCTCAAAACCCTAGATTTGAGAGCAGAAGGGAAATCTAGGGTTTTGTTCTTCTGGGGTTGTTTGTTAGGAGTACATGGGTTTCTGTTTCTGGTCTCTCAAGCTGTTCTCTACTTCCGCGCCTGAAAGTTGCTGTATTTGAGCGTTTGATTCGCCCCTGCTCTCTGCATTTGTTGTTTTTACGTTTGGCGCTTCAGCTTGAGTTAGCTCTCTGCTGTATTGTTGGAGGAAGCCCTGCTCTTCTCGTTCTTTAGGGTGTGTTTCTTCTTCCTTTTTCGTTTCCCCATTTCCCACAATTTCGGCAAGTTTGGATTTTTAGATTGAGAGTTCTCTTTTGCGTTTCTATTGATTGCTGTTTCACTGTGAAAGCAGCTCCTTTGAGTTTCTCCGTGTGTGTGGCGGCGAAGGGTTCTGATTCCCCTGTCTTCGCGCTTTGCTTTTGGCTCTAGAGTCCACAGCTTCAGTTCGTTTTTGGCTACTTCAAAGAAAAACCCCTGAAAAACCCTTTGGTTCTGGAATTCCTCACACCCTCTCTTATTAAGTTGTGAAGTCTAGTTGTATAAGGAATCCTTAAAGGCGCCACCTTTATCACTCCGAACTCCGAAGCTCTTGATTCTTTTCGTTTTCCAACTTTTTTGAGCTTGTACTATTGTGATACCTGTACCATTTTTCATAGTAAATGCATGGATGGAAGAGAAGCTATGGCATTATCTAGTGGTTCAAATCCGTATTACATTCATAGGGGGCCTGGTTATGGTGGGCCTGGGGGATACCAGTCACAGACTGGGGCATTGCACCCTCCACCCCAGTTCAGATCCTCCCCAACCCCAAACTTTCAGATTCAAAACAATGCCAGGCCTGGCTCATCTGCACCTGCATTCTCGATAGAGCACTCAAATGTGAATTCTGGTCATGGCGGCCATGGCATTGATATTGATATGAGTGCTCCTCCACCTGGAGCGGCAGTGAGTGAGCAGCCGGTGAAGAAGAAGAGAGGAAGGCCACGAAAATATGCCCCAGATGGGCAGGTTTCCCTTGCTTTATCTCCTATGCTGGTAAAGCCTAAACAACAACCATCTTCAGAGCAAGATCCATTGAGCCCCTCTAAGCGTAGAGGGCGGCCACCTGGCACAGGGAGAAAGCAACGACTTGCTAATCTAGGTGATTAACTTACAATTTTGAAGCTCTTCTTGTGATAAAGGCAGTGTGTATGGTACTCTAGTGTTGTTAGGATGCTTTGCTCTAAGTTGATACTGTTTGTCCTCATCAGATTCCATATTGATTCCCTTAGTTATAAGTGATTGCCGCATATTCCACATATCCATTAGAATTGTCATTAGTGCACTGCTGTCTAGACGATGTGAAGACTGGAGAAACTTATTTATGTAGCGTGATAATGTTTGTTTCATCAGTCTATTTTTGTTTAGTGGTGTCTGCAAGAGAAAGCACACATCAATTAGTGATATCACCTTGTTGCTTGAAGTTAATCTGGATGATCAGAGGTTGTCTAATTCTGCCTATTATCATTAATATTTATTTGATGTCCCAGGTGAATGGATGAACAACTCTGCTGGCTTGGCTTTCGCACCACATGTGATCAGAATATTAGCTGGAGAGGTATGCTATACTGTCTTCGTTTTTCTTTCATACTCTGCATCCAGGGAGCTACATTTTCATTTGATCTTATGTCTATTCCCTGTAAGACAGCTCCTGATCCATATGGTTTCTTCTCCTTCATGAGATTGTCATGGAAATTTGGCAATGGTCTTTGTAGTAACCTACTTACCCATTGTGTTAATTCCTTTCTCTTGAATATGTGAGATCAAAATTATATGTTTCCTTGTCACTTCTGATTCTTCTATATGACTTTGAACACGGACCATTAATGGTGGAGATGCACATTAGATTTTTGTGCATTTGTGCAGTAGCTATCTAGGGATGGTAGCTTGACACTTTTTTCTTCTTCCATTTGTAGGATATAGTTGCAAAAATATTGTCATTTGCACAACAGAGGGCTAGGGCTGTCTGTGTCTTGTCTGGAACTGGTACAGCTTCCTCTGTCACACTGCGTCAGCCAGCATCTTCAGGGCCGACTGTCACATATGAGGTTAAAGCCTTTATATCCCACATTCATTGTTGTTTCAATGGCTTGAATTTTCTGCATCAGTAGTTGGATCTAAGGATAAGGATTTGAACGGCATGTATTCCCCTTATATCCAAGTTTTTGTTTCGTCTTTGTTTACTTTCTAAATGGATACATTTAAAACTCATAAAAGTAACTTCAGCATCACTAGTTTACGAGATGGAAGGTTGAAAGTTGTTCAAACTAACATAACAAGTTGCTCTACAGTTTACCTGTGACAGTTAAACAGAGTCGATACCAAATAACTTTCAACTTTTTGCTACATAATGGAAACAAGAGTAGCACGAACTATGACACTTTTTTTATTTGATTAAACTTTCTTTTTCAGTATATGGGGTGTGGTTTATGTTTAGGATAATATTTGTCAGGGCTGGTTGTATATTACAAGATCAATCACATCTAAGCAACCTGTGACATGGCATTACTCAGATTTAGTTTGACATAGTTAGCATTGTGAGTTTAAACATCGATGGTTGTTGTTAGTGGTAGACATAGTTGACAGCCAGAGGGCACAATGTTCCTTTCTTGCTTTGATCAGGCTTGCAATGAGTGCTTCACTGAGCTACCAGTTTTTTGGTGGCAAGTACCTTTCCGTTGGTAAAGATTTTAGATTGCTAATATCAAGCAGGATGTGGAATTTATAGATTCAACTTTGTGGATTTGTCTGTTGAAGATGACTCATTGTAGGCAGTTGTCAAAATCTGGTGGCATCTTTTGTAATATTGTTAGTAAAACAGTCTTTGACTTTAGTTGTAGTGTTGGTAGTGGTCTTGGTGGAAAAGAGCCAAATAGTAATTTCACTCTATTAGGTTTCTGATAGCGGCACTCTTGATGAACATACCACCCCTCTTTATTCGTCACTTCTAATTACTTGATAACTACAAAATTGAAATTTGTCCTTGGAGTTGATGACTAAGGCTGGACTGGGGCTTACTTTAGTTTGGAGCTGGCCTCTTCATTCTGGCATATCCTCGTATGTATTAAAATGCAGTCATCAGCATTTTATCCTTTGGATGTTTTTTGAATGGTGCTGCAAGCTTGCACAGATCTATCTTTTGGTCTTCATTTCTTTTGAGTAAAAGATTTACTTGAACGTGGTTGCTGATTTTTTCTACAAGAAAGAAAGTGGATTCTGACCTTAGCCTTTGTGGTTCTCTTGGTTAGCTGTTATTGTTCATCGCTCGCCTTTGAATGTATGGACTTATTTATTATTTAGCTGTTACAGGGCCGATTTGAGATACTGTGTTTGTCGGGTTCTTACTTGGTGGCTGAAGATGGAGGTCCACGTAATCGAACTGGTGGGATGAGCGCTTCTCTCTCTACTCCTGATGGTCATGTCATTGGTGGTGCAATCGGCATGCTTACTGCTGCAAGCCTAGTCCAGGTATTTTATATCGGCTGTTCTAAAGGTCTGGTTTATGAACATTACCAATTTGAACGTCAGGCTTCTGCTTAAGTTAAAACTGGGGTTTCGGTGCAGGTTGTGATCTGCAGTTTTGTATATGGTAATACAAAGAAGCCCGAAAGACCAGTTGGGCGGCCTAAGAGTGATAAAAGCCAACGGAACAGTGAGAAATTAGCTGTTAGTACCCCTACAACCCCTGCTAGTGCTCCTCCTCCCTCTGCAACAACGCAGCAGCACCAGCAGCAGCATCACTACACGCCTTCGCCCATGGGGGTCTGGCCTGGTTCACGGTCGGTTGAGCTGAGAAACAACCCTCACATGGACATTGACTTGACACGTGGATGAACGACTGATGATTGATGTTGACTGGCTGCAGCAACAGGCACATGGCAATTTTGTACAGATGTGTTGTTGTACATGTAGTTGCAGAAGAAAAGATCTCTCCTTGGAGTATCTAGATTTCACCTTTCATCCCTTTCTCTCTCTCTTCCCCAACATTTGAGGGCAGGGACTTGGAATGCAGTTTGTGCTAACCTCTAGTCTGTAACAAAAAGTCAACCATTTTTAAGGGCTCTCCTCCATCAGTTTAGAATTTGTTTTCTGGGTATTTATGAGTATTCAGTATTTGGTGATTGGCAGTAGCAAAGTTTAATCAAATCCTGTTGGTTTTATTTCTCATCTCTTTATGTAAGTATGTAATGAACTTGACTTAGATCTGACTTGCAATCTTGTTGATCAGAGGCTACTAAAGGTTACAGATGAAGACCAGATAGGAAAAGAAAGACCATAAACTGAAACAAGTTTTACATATTCCATAGCCAAGTTTCTGAAGCCACAGGCTTGGCATGTCGCGTCCAATTAGGATGCTTGGGAGTCCCAGAAAATCTCTGGACACATTAATAAAGGACAGCAGCAGCAGTTGCAGGAAGAAGGAAGCAAACGTCACGTGCTTGAATTGAATTCCTATGTCGATGATAAGAGCTATTCATCAGTAGCAGAACTCTCTTATGAGGTTCCCAGCAGCTTCTTTATGTCATACTGTCAAACAATAATTGATGTCCTAAGCATGAGAATCCCATGAAAACCGTAGTGAAGAGGAACACCTACTATTCCTTATTCGGGGGTTGTTTACCTCGATGCTAAGGGGAGAAGTGGTTGGGTAGTAACGATCAACAACTTGGCCATGTTTGTTGACCAGAAACTTGCCAAAGTTCCATTGGATGTCGTCACCAAAGATTCCCCATTTCCCTGTCTTCAAGAACTTGTACAGTGGGGATGCATCCTCTCCATTCACTTCTATCTGCTCATCCTCACAACCCCCAGCAACAAAAAGAGATTCAAATGAGACAAAAAGAATAGCAACTCAAATGTGTGTATAATGATGTTGCTGTGTTATTACCTTATCAAAGATAGGGAACTCGGATTTGAACCGAGTGCAGACGAAGTCAGCAATCTCCTCGTTGTTCCCCGGTTCTTCATCACCAAACTGGTTGCAAGGGAATGCTAGTACCTCCAGGCCTGCAGATTCCTCCCAAGAACGGCTACAATGTGTTACTGAAGTGTCATCCAGGTTCTCATAAACACAGTGAATGATCAGATTTAAAGTTTAACCTTGATCTTTGTACTTTCGGTACAGATCATTCAGCTCTGTGTAATTGGAGTTGGTCATTCCGCTGCAAGAAAATCATATGCCGAATTTCGAAGGGAAGTAAGTTTCTCGAGGGAGTTATCGAAGTTCAAGAGAGGGCATCAATGATATTGTACCATTTGGAAGCAACATTGACAATTAGTACTACTTTCCCCTTGTAGAAACTCAAGCTTACATCATTTCCCTTTGCGTCCTGCATCAGTCAAAATTGGGGTTAATGAGTAAAAGAACGGAGCACTCTTTCCAGAAGGGGATGCCCTAAAGTCGTTTGGCTGATGCTGAAACCACCATTTTACCAAGCAAACCCAGTAGAACAAAAAGACCGAAACTTGATGAGTTTGCATACCGTAGCTAATACCAATGCCCAATATTTAATGATATTTCACGGTTCAGAAGTACCCATAATTCCAGTCAAGTTTCAGATATCACAGTGACCTCCACATATCAGTGAATCGTGGAAGAACAAACTAAACCCATGTAAGAAACCTGGTGTGAAGGAACCAAAGTCGTGATCTTTTTGGGTTTCCCACCCTAGAAATGCTTGAAACGAGAAAGCAAGAAGGGATTCGTTGGTAGAACTTAAGCCGAAGCAAGAGAGACTAACCTTGACAGTGAAATCGTAAACTGATTCTGGGTACTTTTGGGGCTGGCTCGACATTTTCCGAGTTGCTCAAACGTCCAAAACCTGCTTAGATACAAAGCAGAGCTATTCGTTTCTCTGGATGAAGCCAGCTAAAGCATGTTGGAGAAAGGAAGGTACGGAAGAAGGGATTTATAAGAAGGGGAAAGAGAGAAAGATCGTTTCTTTGGTCGTTCTCAGTTCACAACAAAGATGCCCGCACATGTCGTCAGTCAGCACGTGTCGGCTGGTCAAATACCAAACCAAATTACCATTCTTGTTTTCCATTCCTTAATATTTCCAGTCCAGTTCTGTTAATTCGTCGTTAGTTTTCTGCCGACAGTAGTTCTCATGCAGAGCCGTGTCCGTGGAGCATGAAAACAGCCCGAAGCCTCCTGTGTCGATATCTACACCTTTGTTCTTGGAAAGAAAGGAAACGTTTTCCAGATCCATACCAGCTAAATTGGACACAGAGGTGGCAAATAATGGAAGGAAGAGAGGAGATAATGACGATTGAAGATAACTGTAACTCTGTAACTATATTATTACACTCTTTCCAGACAAGCAACAAAATACAAGCAATTCAGATGTCTGCTATTAGGATGTTTCACAAAAGATGCTGCAAGATTGAAGCTAGTTTCTTCCTTATTCAACCATAAACCCTGTCTGATAGACAGTGTACACTCTAGTTCCAATGCCTTAAGCAATTCCAAGCAGTTTCTTCACGTCTTTCTGCAAATGCCACAATAAAGAGAAACAAACATGGTGGAGTTAGTAACCCAATCAGGCTCTGAGAAAAAAATGATGAACTCGGAAGTGTTAGGTCGTAGAAAAAAGCAGCATCCCCCATACCTCCATGCTGAGAGGGGAGGTAGTAGGAGCATAGCGCTCGACGACTTCTCCCTCTTTGTTGACAAGGAACTTGGTGAAGTTCCACTTGATACCATCCCCAAACAGTCCACCCTTGCTCGACTTGAGGAACTTGTAAATTGGAGCAGCTTCTTTACCATTCACCTCAACCTGCATCAGTTTTTCATCAAGTCAGACACAAGTTGGAATCCACAAGGTATGTTGAGCGGTAGAATAAAGCTAAATTGTTTCCATCAGTGAGGATCGACTCTACAATTGATCTAGTTATTATGCATTAGATTAAGTCATATCTGAGTTATATTAACTATTAAGGCAGGAAGCACGATAACCCACCTTATCGAAAATGGGGTACTCGGCCTTGAAACGAGTACAAGCAAACTCCACAATTTGTTCATTGTTTCCAGGTTCCTGAGATCCAAACTGGTTGCAAGGGAAAGCCAAGATCTCCAAACCTGCTCCCGGGCGCACAACAAATCAGCAACCATATTTCATTTAGAGGGAGGTTATAGACCGGCAGGCTAAGGAGGAACAAAGTCTTGTGTGAATAAACATAAAGAAGTTACAGAACAGACAATCAAAAGAAGGGCTAAGTGGTGGCGACCTTGATCCTTGTACTTCTGGTACAGCTGAGTCAGCTCGGTGTAGTTCGAATCTGTCAAGCCGCTGCATCAAGTTCAAACAACAGACAAACAAACTGGTTAACGACTCATTGCATACATAGATATCCGTATTTTAGGCGCCAAAACGGATCTTTCAGTCTACTGGAATTCATCAGCGAAACAAAGAAACAGTAATTTCCCATGTTCTATGCAGAGCTTTTGCAACAGCTAATAGAATTTCTAGGAGAAAAAACAGAAGATTACCACTGAGAAGCGACATTAACAATCATAAGAACCTTCCCCTTGTAGATACTGAGATCAACATCCTTCCCCCTGGCATCCTGCAAACAACAGAAATTAAGTTAGAAATTTGAAGAATCCCTGAAATCCTGAAACCAATCAGAACTAACAGCAAGCCACACACAACCAAACAGAGCAATAGATACAAAATCCCGCTGAACTTTGGATTCAACGAAACGGTTACCCAGAAACCCACAAAAACCCAGTAACCCCAACTGCCAAAAATCAGCCGGGCATAGCCACAGCCCAATCAAAGGGATACCCAAGTTAAAAAGAAAGCGCCTTTGGGTTCAATTTACTACCTTGACAGTGAAGTCGTAGATGGACTGGGGAGAGTCGGAATTACTGGCCATAGCGCGATCGAATCTCAGAGAATTAGCAGTAGAAGAAGAAAGCGACAGCGGCGGAGGGTTCAAAGACCGTGATGGGTGATGCGGGAAACGGGAAACGATCAGCGACGAACCCAACGAAGAAGAAAACGAGTGACGAGGAGCGCGAAGAGAAGCAGAAGCAAAGATGAGATTTTGACGGGAGAGGGTGCGGATTGAAGAACGGAGCATCTGGGTTCCCTTATTTATATAGAGAGAAAGCCAGGGGATGTAGATTGTAGGGCCCAATCAATCAAGACGCGGCCAAAAGGGAGGATGGAAATTGGATGCCGCCTCGCCTTCGTCTTGGTTCTCAATCTCAGCCTCAGTAGTAAGTTTGTGTTTTTGTGTGAAATGGAAGGGGGGGAATTGGAGATTGGCAATTGGGTTATGGATGCTTCTTTGGCTTGGATCCTTCTTGCGCGTATGTATGGGAATGGGAATTGGTGGGCAGCGGAGAAATGGACACGTGGAGGGTGCCCACGAGAGGGTTGAACGTGGAGGTTTCATAGCCAATCTGTATTTTTCGTCTCTGCGGATGGATGAATTTGAGGCCGAATGAAATGATGACGATGATGCTGACAATTTCGGTGAGAACTGAAAAGATTGGGTGAAAATGCACACAGTAGACAACTTCGCAGTTTTAGGTTTCACTGTTCACACTCGAATCTTTGTTGAATTAGTACATTCTTTAGCAGCAAACATTGCCCTCGAATATCATGTATCCCCAGTCTTCTAGCGAGAAATTATACCAGTACCAGAATCAGTTTGTTTAATACTTAAAAGTTGAAGCTATTAGACCATTTTTCAAGAGGGAAGTCAATCTATTAGGCTCGTTTGGAAGTTGCGATTGTTAAATAGATGCATTGTTATAAATGCATGTATATTATTATACATGCAGTCGAATTTGATTCATTGTAAAATACAACGTTTGATATGTGATTGTATATGTCACGTCAGCTAAAAGTTGAGACAAAACAATATTCTCAACTCAACAATCACAACCAAAAGCTGAGATATAACAATCACTCATTTTGAGTGATAGTTTCTGAACATTACAGAAACAATCCACGTATTGTTTGTGCTAAAAAATAAATAAACGATGAATTCTAAACAATACATGTATAATAACAATCTCACGAAAACAAACGCAACTTCCAAACGCCCTTAGATTTACAATTCTAATCTCCTAAAAAAAATGCTTTCCTTCGTTACGAGGAGAACCAAAATGTTAAACCCTTGTCTTTTAATTTTTTTTTATGTAGTTGGTAATAATTAATTAGGATGCGTATTTATGTGATATTATTTTGAATATGATTTTTGTTGCTAAATATGCACTCATTATCAATCCACGACTAGATTAAAGTCCATCTAAGCAAACTATTGTGTTTTCTTCTTTTTTTTGGTAGAAAAAGGGACGCTAAAAGGGCGCCCCAGCCTGACACTTAAATTAACCGGGTTTGGGAGATACCCAAAACGTCATACAGAATCCAGAAGGACAGACCCGGATCTGAACTCGCCAAAACATGGAAACCTATACTAGCAGAGTGGCCTTTATTAGCAAGGAAATCCGCCACTTTGTTACACTCTCTATATATGTGGGAAATTCTGACTTCCCAGTTTTGCTGGAGCAATCTCTGAAACTGCAAGACCAGATTATGGTACCTGTGCTCCGTCTGATCCTGCGAGGTAAGTATGTTGATGGCAGTGGTGGAGTCCAATTGGAGTAGAACTCTCCTATGCCCGTTCTTCCACGCCATCTGCAAGCCACGGATGGCTGCCATAATCTCTGCCCGGGTAATCGTGCACACTCCAAGGTTCTCCACAAAGGCTCCCATACATTTCCCCGTCCAGTCCCGGATAATGCCACCCCCCGCTGCTACTGATCCTGGTTGCTTCACTGAGCCGTCGGTGTTGACACACATCCAGTCTTGTGGTGGTGGTGTCCAAGCTAGCTGCTGTGAAGACCTCACGGGCGTGTCAATATGAGAGGCAGTATCATTTTCCTGAGCTGGCCTGATCGTTGACGTCCAACACCCAATGCGATGCGCCAGAACGTGATCCTCTTGAATCAGGTTGTGGAAGACCTTCTCATTCCGTCTTTTCCAAAGGTACCAAGCTGCCACACCGAACAGAAGCCCCTCCTGATCCCTCTTGAGATGTTCGTCTAGCCAAGCTGCAAAACCAAGGCCGTAAGTCAGTGAAGTCTCTTGAATACCCAGCCTATTCCATACCTGTAGGGAGCTCGGACACTGGCGCAGAATGTGTTCAGTCGTTTCCGGTCCTCTTTTGCACATCGGGCACGTATCATCCGTCGTCAGTTTCCTCCTCTTGCGCTACACATTAGTCATCATCCTGTCATGAAACACCAACCATAGAAAATGTTTAATGCGGTTCGGGCCCGCCCATTTCCAGAGACGCTTCCAGTGGTTGTGGCTATTATCCTCCTCCGCCTCCCAAGCTTCGTCACTCAGCCACTCTACTGCCGCGGAATAGGCTGAACGAAGCTTGAACTTTCCGTCAGGCTCCATGCCCCAAGCGGTAATGTCTTCACCTGATCCTGTCATGGGAGGATCCGTACCTGCAATCAGAGCCAACAAATTCTCAGTCAGGTACGCCTCAAAATCCTTCCATTTCCACTCACCTTCATTAGTGACCATCTCAGCAATGGTAGCATGCCAATTAATTCCTTCACCAGCGCCTGTGATGTGCTCACTCAGAATAGTACCCTCTGCCAGCCAAGGATCCGTCGTGAATTGAACATTATGGCCTTCCCGGATGTCTCACACCGCCCGCTGCTTAAGGATAGGCCACGTATCAACAATTCCTTTCCATAGCCGCGAGAAGTTGCTTTTTTTCATCACCAAAGCCCCTGCCTCATTGACTTTGAAGTACTTTCTCTGCAGGACACGGACCCAAAGCTCCTCTGACTTGTTAAGAAAGGCCCATCCCAGCTTCATAATGTAGGATAAATTGAGAGCTCTTGCAGACCGCATGCCCAGGCCACCAAGTTCTTTTGGTTTACAAATGGTTTCCCATTTGACTAAGTGAGACTTGGATACCCCGTCTTCTGCTCCCCAGATAAAGGCTCTAACTTTCCTGTCAATGATGTCGCAAACAGAAACAGGGAGAACTGCCGTCTGCATGACATAATTCGAAAGGGCATTAAGGACCGAGGTTGCCAAGGTCACTCTCCATGCCAGGGAAAACCTCCTCGCCTTCCACCCTGAAAGTCGATGATCAATCTTCTCCAAGATGAACTTGTCGGTATCTTTGGTGACTCTGCCGTGGATGACCGGAACACCCAAGTAGCGCCCCAGGTTACTGGTTTGTTTTATCCCCAACATATCACTGATACTTCTCTTCAGGCTCTCCTTGGTATTTTTCGAGAAGAAGACACAAGATTTGTCCTTGCTGACTTGCTCCCCCGAGGCCTCACAAAATCGGTTAAGACAGTTTAGGACCTCTTCTCCTTGCTTTGGGTCAGCCTCCGCAAATAAGACCAAGTCATCTGCAAAAAATAAGTGAGTAAGTGCAGGGCCATCTCTAGCCAAAGTAATAGGTCTCCAAGCTTTCCTATCTACTGAGTCCTTGATGTAGTGATTCAGTCTTTCAATACATAAAGTAAAGAGATAAGGTGAAAGAGGACATCCCTGCCGAAGGCCCCTCGTAGGTTGGAAAGGCTCGGTACAGCCACCATTCCACAGCACCTGGAAACGGACAGTCGTCACACACGCCATGACCAGTTTGGTGAAATCATCAGGTAGGCCGGCCCCCTACAGGGTTAACTCCAAGAACTTCCAGTTTATCCTGTCATAGGCTTTGGCCAGGTCAATTTTCAGAATCATTTGTCCCTTGACTCCCTTCCTGAGAGACATAGTGTGAACCACTTCCTGCAGGATGATGATGTTGTCTGTGATATGTCTCTTAGGGACAAAGCTTGACTGGCTCGGGTCAATCAGTTGAGGCATGAAATTTTTGAGCCTGTTCGCCAGACACTTGGCCACGACCTTGTAGCTCACAGTACAGAGGCCAATGGGTCTAAATTGAGCTACTTGCTTCGGGAAATCCACCTTGGGCAGCAACATCAGAAGGGTTTCATTGCATCTCTCGATCCGCTCCGGATTCCTGAAACAAGCAACAATGTGGTCGTGGAAATCGACTCCCACCCTGTCCCAGCATTTCTGGTAGAAAGTAGCATGGAAGCCATCCTTCCCCGGTGCCTTTAGTCCACCCATCTCCCTAATTATTTGGTACGTTTCCTCAGGAAGCGGGCTGGCTGCCAGATGCGACGTCATGGTCCCGGTCAAAACATTGAAAAGAGCAGGGATATCTTGTTGCCCCGTTCCGTCTTCAGAATAAAGCCTGACATAGAACTCCCTGGCCATAAGCTTCAGCATCTCCGGATCCTCGATCCAAATCCCATCCTCCCGCTGTAACTTGGTTATTCTGTTCTTCCGCCGTCTCGTAAGAGCTGCAGTGTGGAAGCATCGTGTATTCCTGTCCCCGCTCACAATTTGATTCGCCCTCGCTTTCTGAAGCCATAGGAGCTCTTCCTGCCATGACGTCTGCTCAAGATCCTCTCGAATTTTCCCTTCCTGTCTAAGGGATGCATCACTCGCTGCCATCTCGTTCTGAACCTCCAGGCGGGCAAGCTGCCTTGACAGTTTTGCTTTCCTCCAGAATATGTTCCCAAACACCTCTTTGTTCCAACGAGTAAGATGTGCTTGAAGATCCTGCAAAGACAATAAACAGTCCCTTCCTCGGTTCCACGAGGCCTCAAGTGTGGAATGAAAGTCTTTATGAGCTAACCACGGTACGAGAAAGCGGAAAGGTCTTACCGGTCTAGGGGGAATATGGTCATTATTGCTACTGATGAGGATTGGTCTATGATCCGAGCGGAGCTTTGGCAGGTTCGTTGAGACAATATCTGGGAAGAGCCTAATCCACTCCTGATTACATAAGGCTCTATCAAGGCGTTGGGAGAGCTGACCATTACTCTAGGTAAACTTGGGTCCAGTGAAGCCGACATCTATAAGCCTACAATCGCGAATACATGCGTTGAAGCTGGCCGTTCTGCTCGGATTATACACAACACCCCCTTTGTGCTCCGAGGGGCAGGTGATGGAATTAAAATCTCCCGCTAAGAGCCACGGCCTCTCAATGTTCTATTCCAGTCTTCGAATGGCCGCCCAAAGTGATTGCCTGTCATGGTCGTTAGGCTTGGCGTAGATTGCAGTCAAGAGCACTGAACATCTGTTCTGATCTATGCACAAAAGGTGGAGGAATTGAGAGTCACGGTCCAATTCAGTAATCTCAAGGTGAGTACCTTTCCAAAGCACCCAAATACCACCAGAAAAACCAACAGCATCAACCACAATGTGTTTATCAAACCCCATGGACTTAATAACATCTTCTGCATCCTTACCACTGATCCGTGGCTCAACAATAAAGACAATATTTGGTCTATGGGTGAACACATACTCCTTAAACGTAGCTAGAAACTTGGGGTGTTTTGCCCCCCCGGCAATACGAACTGAAAATAATAAACATAAGGAAATAAAGAGAAGAACAAACAGACGCAAACTTCCCTGACTCGCAGTGGCAGTGGGAATTCACTGCCCTCCAGAGCGGTCGCAACTGGCTCCTGGTCCCCTTCGATACCAGTGGACTGAGGCTCAGCGATGACTTCCATATCCTCATTCTTCTCCTTGGATCCCGAACTCGAAGCTCCAACAGGCGGCAGGGACTGGATTTGGTCAAGGAGCTCCTCGACCGCTTTGCGGTGAGCTGGGTTGCTCTGCTTTTTTGATGATCGCTTACTGTTCCCCGATCCAGAACGTGGGTCGTGGCTCTTTTTTGCTACTCGGAGGATGGAATCCTTCTTCTTCTTCGGAGAGGCGCGAGCTTGCTTTGCTTTCCCCCTGTGATGCTCGCGAATGGAGTTGCTTATTTGGGGAGAAGCATTTTCACCTGGCGTCGAGATAACATTACCGAGCGGAGGGTCAGGTTGGGCTGCAGAGGGCTTGTGGGTCGGGTTCAACATAATGGGCTCGTTTTCGGATTGGTCCAGCATGGTTAAGTCTGCTTCAGTAGTTGTTTCTCCTATGGGCTGTGAGTTAGAGGGTTTAGAGACCTCCTTGGTCTTAAGGCCCACCATTCGCCATACCTGAGTTGGGCCTGAAACTGGACTTTCCTTAGCTAAGTTGACTTCGGAGACGTTGGCCTTTCCCATTTGTGAAGTGGCCTTTCCCTTTTTCGGAACCCCTTCCAGCTCCTCCTTACCTTTCCTGTCTCGCGAGATATTAGAGTTGCCTTGTTCATCTTTTGGTTTCTTTCCCGTTTTGGACAACGCTTTCCCGGCTTCATTGCTTCTGCCCGTTGGATTGACTTGGGCGGATCCATGGTTGGTCTGACCTTTCCTATTCTGGCTCCGTTCTGAGTCACCTGCATCCATGGGCCGTAACCGGCCGGTGGCTCCGGCGGGTTGCCCTCCGGTAACTGTAGCATATCCGACACGACCGCCTGAGACAGAGTCGCCGGGGGATTATGAAGTTTGGGACAGGCGGTTTCAGAGTGCCCGATCCGGCCGCATTCAAAGTAGATCTCCGGCAAGTTCTCGTAGACTACTTGTTGCCAGAACCCATCGAGCGGATTCGCGTCTTCAGAGGCTTGGTCATATCAAGTTCCACGGCGATCCTAGCGAATTTTCCTCTTTCCTTGTGTTCTGTATGATAATCTAGCTTGACCGATCTTCCCAGAATGTTCCCTAGTGCAAAGAGCACTTCCTGGTGGTAAAAGTGCATCGGTAGCTCGGGAAGCTGAACCCATGCTACCACCGACCGATGAGGTTTGTCCGATGTTCTGAATGTGTGCGACCATTGATGGACGACCAAATAATGTTCAAGGATCACCCATGGACCGCCGGTGAGGGCATTAAGATAATCCTTCTCATTGCTGAAGTTGACCAAGAAAGTTGAATTGTTCAGGTCGAGGATCTCCATACTCCCAGCTGGTCTCCATTTCCAACGGAGCTGCGAACATATGTATTGGTAAGAAACTGATTTCCCCAGAAGACGCGCCACCAACGTTCGCTTCCATGGTAAGCAGAGACGTTCTTTGAGCTGGGAAGAGATCTTTAGCTCAGGTTCTCCATTGTAGAGCCCGACTTCCAAATCGTGCTCTCCGATGAATGTCCATTGTTGGGCCTTGGCCGGGGTTGGAGTCGGGGATCCCGCCAGTGCCAACTTGTAGTTCAATGGAGGTGATAATGGAACGCTTTGTGCAGAAGGTGTCGTGAAACTAAGAGGCGAAGGAGAGGGGTCCAGCGGCCTCCCCGAAATGGCCATGTCGGCCTCCGGCGGGTCATAGGCCGTCGGAAGAGCAGATCGGATTTTCAGAGAGTTTTCCAGAGGAGTTCAAAGGCTGTTAATTAATATTTTCCAACTCCGTGTTTTCTTCATTCATGATATATCCTCTGAATTTTTAATTCATGTCTTGCATAAAACTCCACCCTCATCCTCTTTCCAATTCAGAAGACGATTAGTTTGAGACACGATCATAAGTTTGGAAAGATAAGTTTCTTATTTGATGAGAAGAAGATAAATTTTCTAGACGAAGATGTCATTCGTTTGATGAGAAATAGAAAGGAATATACAAAATTTGAGTGGCTGAAACTGAAGCAGCTACTTTCGAAATAACAGAAAGAAAAGCAATGATTGGAGTGGGAGGGTCAGGATCGAAAAGAGGATTCATCACTTCTTTCTCTCATTCAAAACAGTGCATGATACTTTCATCTCGCACGGCTCCTAAGTGATAAAAGAAAGAGAAACTCACCTTCTTTCTTTTTTGATTACCTTCCTCGTGTATGTATAAGACAGAATCCATTCGATTTCTAATAAAGAATTACTAATCCTTAACTTTCCGAGGAATCCTCCGGACGATCGGGGGGTGATTGGGGCATGGCCATAAAGGTTTTTATGACAATCAATGATTCGCTTCATTACAAGGTATATCCATTGCAGCGTATTGAAATTTAATTTCCTTCCATGCCTCACAAACAGCAACCAATTCAGGACTCCATTTGCTCTCCTTACGAGTCACGAATAATTTCATTACCCTCACCCAAATACCTATTATAGGCCAAGCTGCTATAAAGAAATGTAAAGAACGAGAGTTGTTGAAACTAGCATATTGAAAGATCAATCCCCTTGTGATGAGGAGAAAAAATTGGAAGTGGTTCTAGTACTAGTGAAGAAATGCGATGTATTTATAGAGAATTTTGGAAAAAAGCATTTGATTGAAATTGGGGGATGATCTTCAAATTATTTTTTGTTTTATTATTTGAGCTGGAATGCTCGACAGGAGGATGGACCCCCTTCCCCTGCATGCAGTCCTGTCACCCCTTGCAGCAACTCCGTGCATGTATCTTTTATAATGTTTTTACTTTTCTTTTATCCGAGAAATGTCAAGAAGAAAACATGAAACATGAGGAAATCCCATATCTCTTACACACAGAATCTCCGACTTCTACAATAATCAGGCAGTAAACTAAAAAAGACGCAAACCCTAACATAGACAAAGTAAGGGCTTTACGTGTCACTCTATTGGCAGGCTAATTGACAACTCGATGAACCAGTCTAAGCTCTACACCTTGGGGAATGATTACACTAGCAGGAGGCAATCACGCAAAGTGAGCCCACCTAAGACATCTATCAATATGTCCTTCTCGAGCTGATGGATAACAACTTTAGGGAGATGCCTTTGGACGCTGCCCTAATAATATGTTGGTCCACCTCAATTCAGTAGGTTGTCGTTTGTGGGGGTTCCTGGTTAGTTTTGTTTGTATAACTCTTGTCCTCTCTTGATATCACTCGAAAATAAAAATAAAAACATAAATAGATGAAAACAAGCAAATTTTCTTAGTGGCATGGCTTGCATGCAAACTTGCTTCTGTGCACTTATTGATGTAGTGTGTAGGGCTGGGAATCCAGACCAAACCGTATGGGAAACCGCGGTCTAGACCGTATCGTATGGTTTGGTCTGGACCGTGAGACCAGAACTATGGTCTGGTCTGGTTTGAGATCTCCTCCTTTAGTACGTGGTCTGAAGTGGTCTGGACAGCGGTCTACCACAGTAAACCGTAACAGACTGCGACACACTACCTACTACCTCGGACAAAAATAACACTAAATTGAACCTTCATATGTATATTTGAAGAACAAAGTTAGTTGATTCTTCATCTAGTTGAGAGCCAACAAATTGTAAATGATCGCTTATGTGTTATCTCATTATCAAAGTACCACACAAAAATCAGAAAGACTCATAAATAATATTCACAGATAATGTCTAGACTATGGAGTCGATAAAAATTAAACACTACAAAAAAATTCTTTCACCTTGATGAGATAAGGAAAATTATTGAGAGATATGCGACCATCTTAGTGGTTCGAAATTACCTCGATGTCATCAAAAAGGATATCAAGTGGGAGAACCTTCAGATCACTCGAGAGAGGAGAGAAGCAGTAGCACAAAGAGGAATAAGGAAATAAGGCTATTTGAAAATTGAAAAAACCCACTTCTATCCTCATATTTCTTCGCATTTAATACGATCACAATTTTTTTGTTTCACTAGCATATTGGTCATTAGATTTTTTTTATAGATACCGGTGAAGGGTTGGAGGGCGAACAAGAGTTAATTTTTTTTAACATGGTCTGTCTGGTCCAGACCGTACCGGACCGCACCGCATAAGTGTGGTCTGGTCTAGACCGTATAGTATATGGTCTGGTCCATGGTCTGTGTTCCAACCTCTCGGTTTGGACCACAGACTGTATCTATGGTCTGGTCTGGACCGGACCACACCGTTTCCCACCCCTAGTAGTGTGCCATGTAAAATTTCACAATTGACCAATTAAATATCCCTAATGTGGATGTTTCTAAATTACATGACATTTTGTCATTTTCCTCTCCTAAAACCCTTGTTATAAGAGCCGAACTGGATCAGTGGGTGGATCAGTAAATTTTTTATACCAATTATAATAGTGATTTAGTCCATTTGCTTGGTCAACTAGCAATTACCTGAACTATTTTTATCGTTGGATATGGAACCCGATGAACCATTCTAGTTTGATTGGTTTGGTGGTATTTTAAATAATAGTAATTTAACGTAAACTAATACTGTTCAACCTCAATTACTAATTGTATTTCTACTTTATCTTCTTCGTTGCCCAGCCTCATTGTCGGCTTTACATCGTCCACTACCGTTTGCCATCCTAATTACTAACTTGAATTTATAAAAAAAAAATATAATTTTGTGAGACCCTTTTTGTTAGAATTTTTTTATGATAAATGATATGGATTTGAAATTTTATATGGCTAGTGATAAAAATTATCCAAATTAGTGCATGAACAGTTCTATCAACTTTTAACAATTACCACTGAATTATAAACAACTAACTTTCTCGGTTCAATGTGTGGTCTAATTGTGAAAATATAGCTTCAAGCATACTCTCATCTATGTCTTGTCTACCCTAAATGTTAGACACCTTCAATTCTCCTTTGGTGAAGGGTTGTTTGTGAGTTAAGTGTTTAATCCTTTGTTCATTAAGGAGGGAAAATAAAGGTTGGCCAAAAAAATGGGGATATTGGAGGAATTCATAACTTTTACCTTGTTTATAAGTTTTGCTACAATACAAGTAAGTGATTCTTTTGGGGGAAAGAATCGTGGGTGCCCGGCCACACGATCTGGTGGATCCGGATCTTGTTGGGTCCGATTCCGGACATCGAGTTTTGGCGGTCGGCAGGGTGGTAGTCGAAGTCAGGGAAGTCGGTGTCACAGTTTCCCTGGAGGTCGCATAGGGTTTGTTTCTCGGTGGAGATGGCCATCCGTCGGGCGATCTACTTTGATGCCTGCGCCCCCATTGTAAGGTAAGGTGGACTCTAGGTAGCCTAGCGCAGAAATAAATGTTTGGGCGTGTTGAGGATTTGGGATGGGAAATATAGACAGAGGAGCGGAGTGGAAGGTGGGAGCGCCCCCATTGGTATGCTGCCGGCAACATATTCTTCCCAACAATGGAAGCGGCAGCGGCAACGACGACGGGGTATTGGTATTGGAGATTAGAAGAAATTAGGGTTTATTTATTTATTTATTTTAAGGTTAATTGCATGGTTGGTCACTAAGATTACAATAAACGTACAAGTTTGGTCACTCAAAATATTTAAATCCATTGGTGATACTTTAGTTTACTGAAACGGTTCACGTTTTGTCACTATCCGTCCAACTCCATTAACTTTTGATTACGTGGCGGTCAACTCTAAAATTTGACCGTTAAATGAGTGACGTGCCAATTTAAAAATAATAAATTAAAATTTTCAAAATTGTCATTTCATTTCCACTCATTATCACATATTCTTCCCAATACCAATACCCCCACCCTTTGACCACCACCTGGTTGATGAACAGCCTTGTGTAGGAGTGGATCCGACTCGTCACGGGCTTCACACACACGATCAGGTTGTCGGGTTGCAGCGTCATCGTGTTCTACACCCGGTAGAAGAACCTCCTCCCCGTCGCCGCTCCCTGTTGGCTAGGAAACTTCAGATTGCTCTCGAACTTCGTCGATGGCAAATCTGTGTCGATCCAATTTTCCTTCAGATACCATGCTCCTCACAGCGCCCCGCCGGGCTTCGACGCATTCTCCGCCTTCCTCGGCTTACACATGCAGAGCTGGTAGTAGATGGAGAGGGACTGACACTACGCGAAAGGGCGGGCGACGAAGGGGATGCCGATCTTGTTGGTGGGAGAGTCGTGGGTGCCCGACCATAGGATCTGGTGGATCCGGATCTTGTCGGGTTCGATTCCGAACATCTAGTTCTGGCGGTCGACGGGGTGGTAGTCAGAGCCAGGGAAGTCGGTGTCGCAGTTTCCCTGGAGGTCGCACAGGGTTTGTTTCTCGGTGGAGATGGCCTTCCGTCGGGCGATCTACTTTGATGCCTGCGCCCATTGTAAGGTAAGGTGGACTCTAGGTAGCCTAGCGTAGAAATGAATGTTTGGGCATGTTGAGGATTTGGGATGGGAAATATAGACAAAGGAGCGTAGTGGAAGGTGGGAGCGCCCCCATTGGTATGCTGCCGGCAACATATTCTGCACAACAATGGAAGCGACATCGACGATGGGGGTATTGGTATTGGAGATTAGAAGAAATAAGGGTTTTTATTTATTTATTTTATTGTTAATTGCATGGCTGGTCACTAAGATTACAATAAACGTTCAAGTTTGGTCACTCGAAATATTTAAATCGATTGGTGATACTTCAGTTTACTGAAATCGTTCACGTTTCGTCACTATCCGTCCAACTCTATTAACTTTTGATTACGTGGCGGTCAACTCTAAAAGTTAAC